GCAGTTGGTCAATCTGAAACCGACCGGATGAGAGACTGGATGCTGGGCCGTAGCAGTGGTGAGAGGTTGGGATCCATCCTCACAGTGAATGCAGTAACTTTCAAAGTGTTTAATGGATCTTTTTCAAACTTTCCAGTTACATGACGATCTATTTCACTTTGAGGCAAATCAAAACAAAACTTGGTTAAGCCCAACATGAAGTTGGGCTTTTAATAAAGGTTTATTTGGGGTGGTGGGGAGCATTTGTAGGGTGGCTAGTGATTGTAATGGTTTCGGGTATGAGAGGGATAACGATTCTGCGTCAAATTCCTAGTACGTAATATCTACTTTTACTCAAGACCCCATCCCAGACCAATCCAATTATGTTGCACTGGCTCATGGAGTCATCCCAAGCTTCTCCCCTTTACAGCACCCCTGCATCCATCCATCCATCTTCTAAGGTCTTATGCTCCTTAGGGTCATGGGGGGTCTAGGGCCTATAATGATTATTATATGCTGTCTATGTCCTTTCAGACGAACAACAAAGGCAACAAGTAAAACAGCACTAATTATTATACTAATGAAAAAAATAAAATTAAAAAAGTATAAGACACAAAAGCAACGCTGTGGCGCTCCATGAGTTAACTGTCCTGCAGCTGCTGATGGGTACAATATCATCTCATCTAGTACTGGGTCACAGGAAGAGTCTCATTGATGCTGTTTAAATAGATGTAGCTCTGAGCTGAGTAATGAAAGAAAATACATAATTGCTTTGAGAATGGGAGGGCAGGCCTGCGAGGTTCATGCTCTGTGCAGGAGACGGCATGATCACTTTTGGCTGTATCAAGAGGAATTTGATACAGACGCCCCAGCATATGAAATAATAAATCATCGGTTTTATTTCGAATCTGGGAAAATGTGTGGGAGCCCGAGGAGACGTAATGCAGGGACAAAAAGGGCAGCTGAGAAATCATGTTAAAATGAAGCAAGTCTACAGCGTCTGTAAACCGGGGAAAGAAATATGTCCACCTGCGTGCTAGCCAGAGGCACACAGTGCAATTACATAACACGGTGCAGAGATTCAAAAGGTAATGCGCTCCAGATGGCAAAGTGATCCCCGTGTACACAAGCCCTTCTATTAGTGTCCCATCAAGACAAATTAGCCCACAGCTGCGTAACAGGGCGCCCCATCAAACGGCAGACCCCCGCGTCTCTCTTCAGCTGTCTCACCTGCAGCGTTTGGCACTCCGCGATTCGGCTCCGCTTACGGTGGACAGCTCGGTGTAAAACCGACAGAGCTCACGGGGCACCGGGAGAGACCCCTCGTCCGCTGGGGGAAAGTGCAGATGGCACAGGAAATTGCTCTCCGATCTCTGCGGGGGACGCAAAATGAAACACTACCGCCGCTCAGCTGGAGCAAATGGGGCGGAGTACAGATCGGCGTAGGAGTGGGAAAGGGAGAGGAAGATGGATAACGGATGAAAGAAGAAACGGATGCAGAGGAAGGGAGGGAGGAGGTGAGAAGGAGGAGTGGAGTTTGAGAAAATGGACAGAGTAAAATGTGCAGGAAGGGGAGAGATAAGAGCACGAGAAGACGTGATGGGAGGGTGACGCGAGAACTGGGAACTTGACCCAGTTCTTGCTTAGTTGGCAAAGCAGAGCTGCTGGAATAAGATAGCAGAAAGTACTTGAGCCAAACATATGGATTCTCTCACACATCCTGACAACTTGACAGGAATGACATAATTACCAACAAAATTCAACTGGGAAGCCTCTGAATATACTGTGACTCTCGCTGAGGCAAAGAGGGGAAAGAGAAACTGTCCATCATGTATCTTGAATACTAAATTAAACTAAATAATGATCATCACACCATTGTGTGTATTATGTGTTTTGGTGTTTGAGTGTGCAATGATCCTGTTTGTGTGTATTTGTCCGGCTATGTCTAGGGTACCTAACAGCCTAAGCGTAAATGTAACTTGTGCAAGTCGCTGTATTTGATGATAATAATAACTTTTGGTTAAATCTAGAATAAAAAACAATGACAAGCACAAAAGGAAACACCAAAATCACTCAAGGCCTCAGAGTTTCCCCAGACGTTCGGACCCGTCTACGTTTGTTAAAGAAATTTTGGGGATGGAAACAGGATGAAAGCCAAGAGCACATAGACACACAGTACAAATGGGCAATTAGCAAAAGCAATTGTAAAAAATTGAAAAACCAGGGGGCAAATGCCATAGGGTGGAAAAAATGTCTCCCAAAAGAGATCTATGAGGAAAAGCAGTCTCAGGAAAAGCTGCCTTCCTAACATTTTCCAGGCCTGTAAACCTTATATAATATATGAGAAATGTGAGTATGACGCGTGAACAAAACCAGCAGTGGTATGGTGGAGCTCTGGGTGGTCCTCCTGCCAGCAGGGGGCAGCAGGGCATCCTGGCCCAAGCTGATTCTGAAGCTTTGCAGGTCTCAGGTGGGAGGACAAGAGAAGGAGTTCAGGCAGAAGGATATAATATATCTGATCCATTTAAAGACATAATCACAGCAAAGGCTGCTGACATTCTTACGTTTGATGCTGCCAAGAGCATTTAAAGATCGACATAGCACGATCTTTTCATTTCAGGTCACATGCTGCAGCCAGTAAGGTACATTCACAACATATACAGTATTTCTAGAGCAGGGAAATTTCCAAAGTAACCAAAAAATAATGGTTAATGGATGTTACATCCCAAGACAAAGGGCCATGTAATATAGTTTTGAAATAGTATAGAAGAACAATAAAATAGTCCTACAAGGCAAACCACAATCTTCCTGAGAAGTTTGCGTGTGTCTCTATATATAGACAATGAGGACATTTAGGGACACTGTTGACTTTATGATCAAGAATTGTTTCCTCTCCTAGGGTTATATATACTGTACATGGTCTGTCTACAGCAGTGTGTGGTCCCCCTACCCTGGAAACTCCCAATCTGATAGCAATGCAACAAGGCTGTGAAGCTGGGTCCAGAGATGGGGAGAACGCCCCCTTGTGGATTTGTGCCTGACTTTTTGCTCTTTTTGTGGGTGGGGGCGGTGGTGGAGTCCAGGGTAACCCCCTTCATATCATTCATATCTCAAAGACTTTGAGATATGCTTTACTCCCTTTGGTGCAGCCGACCCCCCCCCCCCCACCCCATTCTGCCGATCAGCTGAGAGACCAAGATGTTGGGTTAGTGAGAATGGCGGAGGGAAATGGAGGGAGAAGGAAGACAACAAGGGGAAGAATGACAAAAACAAGAAGTGCAGCGTGGTTACTGCCGACAGTGTTAATATAAGCCAGGAAAATGCAGAACATGCAATTTGGGTAGAAGCTAAATAATGTAGCAGCACACAGCTGGGATAAACAGCGTCCTGGTCTTTGGGTTACGGCAACATGGCCTTTCCAAATTTGTCCTGAGGGTCCTGCAGGGGCAGGCGCCGTTCATGAGAAAACCAAGAGGAGTCAGCCGGACGGAAGCCCGGAAGGCCACTCAGCACCGGCAGCCTGACAGGCGAACATAACAGCACCACCAGCTGATTCATTAACTCTCTGCTGGGATTTGTTCATCCTTTGAACCTGGTCATAATGCGTTTTCAAGCGATTTTCAATTGCCCATTAAATCAGTTAGGGAGGCATTTATAAAAAGTTAAGCTAACCAAATATACTAACATTGCATGAAAGTAATATATTTCATCGTTTGAGAACCTGACTCCAATCCCCTGATGCATACACTGATGCCATAATCAGAAAATATATACTTTCAGTGGGAATGCTAATTGTTTATCGCTAATATACAGTTTATAATACCCTTCCAGGACTGGGAGTTTCAGTTCCCGTCTGTGTTTGGAATTTGCATTTTCTGTCTCTCTGCAGGCTCAGCATGACTCTCTACCGTATAAACACTTACGGAAGATGGATGTATGTTTTGTAAAGATACACTTCCCAGAGTAGCCAATAGGAGGACACAGGGTAAAAGAAGATGAATGTTTTAGGTCGTATACATGCATGTTCTGTCACTGTTAATTGTTTTGAATGTGAAGATTTGTTTACAAATGTTTTATATCACGGGCAGGGATGAGAGTGGAACTAGCTAAACATTCTGCGAAAAAGCATGCAAATACTCCACATAAGGCAGAGCCACAAATGGGTTACAGAAAACAGCTGAACGAATTAATGCCCATTTGCGTGTGGCATTCCTTGTGTTCGTTGACCGAAGTAGCACATCAGTGTATCATTAATTAGTTTTGACTGCGAAAGGCAAAGAGATTATGAGTTAAATGCTTTCCGCAGATGGGAGGGCATCTTGGTGTTTGACTATACTATAATGACACCTGCATACTTCTTTCTGAAAAATAAAGCAAACTTTATGGTTGTTTGAGCCTGGAACCCTTAGAGGTTGTTTTTCCTGCTACAATGACCATAGGAAATTGATGTTCCATCCATCCACCTTCTGTAAACGCTTGACCTATTCAAGGTTGGGGGGTCCACAGCCTATCCCAGAGGCTACAGGTGCAAGGCAGGGAACAACCCCGGATGGAGCACCAACCTACCACAGGGCACATTAACATCACACACACCTACCGGCAATTTGGTAACTCCAATTGACCTTGTTTTTGGACTGTGGGGGGAAACCGGAGTAAACGGAGGAAACCCCACAACGACACGGGGAGATCATGCAAACTCCACACTCATGGAGCCATAGCAGAGACTGAAAACCTGGTCCCAGCGCTAACCACTATGCCACCATGCCATGAGTTCCACTTTCTTCCACCCCAAAAGTCACTCTGTGAGGTTATAGCTATCTCTGTGTTTCCGTGCATTAAGGGGAGCTGTATGAAGAATGACCCTAACTAAATAATAACGATGAGACAGAGCAAAGATTAGCTTATTCAACTTCTCCCTCCCTCCCAAGTTCATCCTCTCTCTCCTTTTCTCTCTCGTTGGTCTCTCAGTTGATCGGCAGCCGCACGGACGGTGAGCTTTGGAGCCGGAGGTGAGTGAACTACTTAATAAAGTTTGCCACTTCGGTATCCCCGTAGCCGTTAATGCAGTTAATTTCACTTTCTGATTACCAGCGATATCGCCTTTAACATTAAAAACGTTATAAATTTTGAAATACTGACCTTTTTTTGGAAATTAAAATTATTTATTGTACACAAGTTGAGTGACTATTATAATAACAGAACAAAGATGGCGTTTGACGTTGTAATGAAATGCAAACGCTGCTTATTCTTCAAGTGTCGCGCTGCTGCTGCAACGATACCAAGTTGTTTTGTACGCATGACGCGATTTTGCCATTCACCACATGGGGAAAGAGTTATTTAGATACCTTAATAAAAAAAATCATTTATACATTTCACTGTGATTTACGCTTTAAACAACATATTTAAGTTACATATTAGACAAACTAGATGAAGTATAGGCCTATATTCTGACAAATAAACGCGTTTTTTTCTGTTTTAACTGTAGAGAACATTGCATCAGGTGTCCTGTGCACGAATAAGCATATTGGGAAGTTTTTAAAAATATAAATGAAAAAATAATGAAAAAGAACAGTGACGTCATAGTTATTAACGTCACCTTGCCTTGAAAACGCCGCTGTGTCATACATGTCGTGTTTTGCCATTAATAGCGGTTAACTGAAATAAAAACCGTGTTTAGATAAAGAATTAGCTTCTGGCGTAAAATTTGACGCCAATCGAGGTACGTGGCTTGTAAAGCTGTAAATTTTATTGACTGTAATTTTTATTGCTTCATTACTGGTAATGAACCCACAATAGAGATGCAGAGATGGAAATGTGAGGAGAACGAAGGCTTCTCGGTGTTCAATGTTAAACTTCGTATGTGCAGTGCCTGGAGTTGGAGCCGCGATATCCACCCCCACAGCGAATATGACGGCTGTTGTTGTTAAAATCTCACAAAACACAAAGAGTAGAAAAATGTGTGGTCTTTTAGTAAAGTGATGTCCAAGATCTTGCTTGTGAAAATTCCTTGTGAATTTCCTGTTAACATTTTTTTTGGACCAATAAACCCCTACGGAGTTTATCACTGCAGTGCATCAGGCACACATTCATTATTCTGCTATCAAAGCCTAATGTTCAACATGTGTTTTGAGAACAGTGGAACCAAAAGTTAGCCTAAAAGCTTAAAAGTCTGACCTATAAATGTCAGCATTATATCTCAGTCTGCACTTATCAGTTTCTCTACAGGGGACACATTACACAATAAGTGTACTCAGAACCGGACCAGCTACACTTCTACAAGCCTTAAATGTTTCCTTCCCAGCTAAGTGTGCAAGTATAGTTTGCTCCCTTTCATTAGTCACCTGACCCTGTAATAGATAGAATAGGTGCATGTAAGATGGAGGTGCAGTTTAGTTCCATTTGCTACCTTTCCCTGCTTCCCAACCACATACCATGTCGACCATCCCACCAATCGCTCCATTGCCAAATACAGTTAAACAATAATAAAACCTCACATGACATAGTTAAGTAGGTCTGTGATGCCGCATTTAAATCCCGTAGGCTGTGTTGAGATAGTGAAACCCAGAGTGATAACCTGCCTTTGTCTGAATGTCCAGGAGCCAAAATGTCTGGCCTGTTACTCGCTGTTGTCCTGCTGCTCCCTCTTGGGGGTGCCGCCCCGCCCAGACTTTGTCGCCGGTGCTGTGATCATGTGGGACAGTCAGAGGGCCCCACGGTGCGCAGCGGGACCCCCCACCAGATGCCTGAGATTCGAACCTACATCAATATGACCATCCTGAAAGGTAACACTCTCACACGACTTTATTTAACATGGTTTTTGCTTAGTGCGTTTCTAAAATCCCCAAAACAGTATGGGAGGGTAATTATCACTATAACTTCCTAATAAAACTTAAGAGATCAGATCTGCCCATGAAATACTCCAAAAGACGGTTCACCCATTACACGGTGTCAAACGCTTTGACACAGCAGAGTTTGAATATGCAGTCTTCAAGCCAGTCTTGGCCAGAAGCATCTTAAATTCAAGAAAACTGGCCTGTGGTTTTCTATGACTCATCGGTGAAAAATTGTTGGCCGCGGCTAATTAAGACTCCTCTGTGCTTTTTGAGTGTACTTGTTAAAAAAGGAAAACAGGCATTGGTTTGGGGCCTACTTTTGCGCTGCAGGGGGCCTCTGCTCTCTGCTGGGACACCTGGCACTGAAGTTGCTTATGTGGCAGAAGCTCAGCTGAGGTGTGTGACCTGATTTTCTGGGCTGTAGCTAGAGAATAAAAAGCAAACACATGGGCTTTGGCAGGCAAGCTTTTCTGGGCAGTGTGTGACTCATTCGATTGGGGATCTGCCCATCTCCGGAAGGTTGTGGGTTTGAATCCCATGGCTGGATGACTAATTGTTTCACCATGGAGCCCTTGAGCGAGACCTTTAGCCCCAGTTATTGCAGGAATGCTGGATGCTGGCTGACCCTGCGCTCTCACCACAAGCTCTCCTGACTTGCATGCCTCACGGGGTAAAGGGATCTGCAAAATAAATTTAATGTAAGAAGTTTTCCAGTTAGTTTTATCATTTTTTTTAGCCTTGTGAGTAGTGCAGCGGTTCATATAAAATGAGATGGGTGTCTAGGTAATGGATGGTTGTCACCTTGGCAGGAGGCTTCTCACTTACTGCAATGTACAGGCTGTCATTCTAATTGGACTATTTGATGTTAATTATTTAGAAAAGTTTAGAATCCCTGCTTTCATTTGTTCTGCCCTGTTGCTTTATGAAACAAAACAAAATTTATGAAACAAAACAAACTTTATGAAACAAAACAAAGTTTGACCGGGTTGTGCTTTGCTAAGTCAGTGTCCCTGGTCATTTTCACTGCACAGCTGGCAATGACCTGAACAGCTGTAACCTGTGTGCATAAAATGTATAACACAGTGAGTGATTTAGCAATTCACAGCAGTGTTGTGTCATAGGGGACAAGGGAGACAGAGGGGACAGGGGGACGCCAGGGAAGGCAGGACAAGACGGACCTCCAGGTGCTCGCGGTCCCATTGGCTACAAAGGCAGCAAAGGTCAGGCAGGTGTCCCTGGAGAAGCCTGCAAGATCCAATATTCCGCCTTCTCTGTGGGCAGGCGGAAGGCCCTCCACAGCACCGACTACTACCAGGCTCTGGTCTTCGACACTGTCTTTGTTAACCTTGAGGAGCACTTCAACATGTTTGAGGGGAAGTTCTATTGCTCGGTGCCCGGCGCCTACTACTTCAACCTCAACGTCCATACCTGGAACTTCAAGGAGACCTACCTGCACCTGATGCACAACGAGCAGAACAAGGCGGTCGTCTACGCGCAGCCCAGCGACCGCAGCATCATGCAGAGCCAGGCAATCATGCTTCTGCTGGGGCGGGACGACACGGTGTGGGTGCGACTCTACAAGCGCGAGAGGGAGAACGCAGTGTACAGCGACGATGTGGACGTCTACATCACGTTCAGCGGGTTCCTCGTCAAGCCAACCGCCGAGTGAGTCCCCCAACGGACGCATAGGGGCCGGACTCCCGACTGTCCTCCGGGGTTCAAAGCCTGGCAGCTCAGTGCTACAACCTGAACTTGTCAATGTTGCAGTGCAACATTTATTAGTATCTGTTGCGAGGAGGTAAGAATATGCATGCAGGACAGTTTTCTGAAAGGTGAAATTAAGGTGGTCAAGTGATTAAGAAATATACATGTTGTGTAAAGGTAGGAACTGCTTTTATGTCCTTGGGAAAGGTATGTTTTATTAATTATACAGCCACAAAGGATGAACGTAGGAATTAAAATGCAAATATCTTCTAATAAGGAGGGACTTCTAAGCAATGCTGGATTATATAGTTACAGTTACATGTGTAACTGACAGTTTTATTTAGTTGGGTCCCAAATGATATTTCGCAGGTGCTATTTAAAAGTCTTTTTCTGCAGTGAAATGCCGATTCAATGCCATTAATGTTCTTGATGGACTGATTCTTTCATTGCAAAGGGACCTCCGATTGGCTGGAGGTTCATTTGCATAATATGAATGTAACTGTTTAAAGCTGCGTTGCCGTAGCTACGGAGATGCCGGTGGATCACATTCTGTGAGGGACGGAGTGGCCGGAGCGGAAGGGACCACCACCAAGGGTTCGCTTATGAGACCCAGTTTGAAAGGAACTTCCTGTGAGCAAAATCAGCAAGTTTCTCAGGAAACGGCATGGAGCAGAGAGGCAGCGGCAGGAACAAAGGAAGGTTTCCGTACACGTCCATCGCGGTGCTCAGCCACATGGTGCTAACCAGTCAGGAAAGGGCCAGTGGGTCACATGACCTAGCCCTGAGACATGGTGCTGTGGGGGGGCGGTGACTGATCTCCCCAGTGGCCCCTCATTGGTCACATATTGTTCTCCTATGACAGAGGCCAAAGTTAAGCTGCCAGAGACACATGGTGGGTGTGTCTCAGCCTCAGCCAATCAAAGAAGCCGGGTGTTACTCTTACTTATCAATAGTTACTGTCCTGTTTCTTACTGTTACTGCCTCTACCTCCACATACAAAATGTCACTTATTCAAAAGCTGGCCATCTATTCATTAAAATATTTAACTGACCCTACCTGTGTTTTTAATTCATGTCATAAAGACTGAAAGATGTATTTCTATATATTACTAACTGAGGTTCATTCTAACAAGCTCAAGTCTTCCATTCCACATAAATGCTGGAAACACTCCTGGGTAATAGTATCTGAGTCTCAGGTACACACTGGTATTCAGTTATCACAAAATAATGAAAGGTCTTCGTTACTGACGGCCGACATAGTAAAGTTATGAAAGAGTTTATTATTTTAGAGTTATTATTTTAATAGTTTCCCATAAAATGTCTGACAGCATCTTTGGTGGGCCTTCCTGATCACGGTGGCTGAACGCCTGGAGAGATGAACGAGCCTTTCTCGGCGCATTAAAAAGCCCGGTTTGGGCCTGGGTCCGCCCCGAAGGCTGTGCAGAAGAGCGAGCAGGGCCTTCTGGGGTTCTCTCTCTGATGGTCCTGGCATCTGCAGCCTGAAGCACCCGGGTCAGACAGGAAGCCGCCTTTACCCTTGCAGACACGCTCTGCAGGGCAGTTTCTCAGTCCAGAGGGGCGTCCGTCTTTCCGTCTCCTGCAGACTCGGCCGTAATCTACACATCGGGTCCCGCAGTTACTGATAATAACTGTTGAGGTGACTGCACCCTCTTCGTTATGAGCACAGTCCTGTAAGTCAGTGGCTTGTCAGTTGAGGATAAATACACAGACTGACATAGCTACTGGGGAACTACGGGGTAACTCCTCAGTGTAAATATATTTTAAGGTTCCTTGTTTATAAACAACACGTGAAGAATTCACAGATGTAATATTTTGACCCAGTATCTACTATCAGACATTATTATGCTGTGGTGTTTTTGTTAGTGTTGTGTCAGAAGCATTGAATAAAAACCTGTTGCTGAGCAACATCAAAGAAGATCTACCAAAATAATAATGAAGGCACCCATTTTAAATGCTAGGAGATGCCAGAGCAGGGCTCTACTGCATTTCCAAAGCCTGAATTTAATCCTAATTTGATTTTAGTCTTCAAATATACAGATTTTGTTTTAACAGAGGATATGTTGGTTGCTCTAATTGTAACCAGACTTTGGATTTTGTTGGTACTGAAGAAGATAGAGAGAAAATAAAACATAGAAATTTGACACCGAATAGTTCATACTGAACCAAACACCAGCGCCCCTGTAATCTCAGATAACATTATAATTATGTAACATTATGAATGTGTTTCTTGTCTTCATTTTTCTAAGGGAAAAGAATACATTCATTTGAAATATACTTCATATGAGGTACTTTGTGAAGCAAAACTCAAATGATGCATGACTATTTTCATGTAAGTATATTTGCATATTTTTACTTAGCTTTTATCAAAGGCGATGTATGTTTGAGAAAGCAAGGTTAAGCACTAGCTGAAGCACTAGCTTTAAAGGTCCAACGCTGACACCAGCAACAGGATTTGAAGCAGCAACAGACACTGCATCCTAATCCACAGAATTACACATCGGCCCACATGCTTCAATCAATAATTCCGGTCATTCGTTTTGAGGAAAGTGCGTGTGAAGCTCGGCCTTAAGGTAGCTTCCGTGCATCATGGAGTTGAAGCTCCTGACTGGCACACTGGGACAGGATCCCAGGAACCTGTGATGAAGCCAGTGGGTTTTCTGTTGTGGTCTCAGTGGGCCAGAGAGCTCCTTGGTCGTGTGAATAGGCTGCAGTTCTGAATGGGCATTCGGGGTTTTCTTTCCCCCACTCGTTGGCAGGGGCGGTGATGCTTTGTTGGCTTGGTGGCTGGACGTAGGGATTTTATGGGCCTTGCTTTGTGTTGCCAACATAAGCAGCAGTGTGAGTCAAAGCCTGTCAGGACTAGAGCAGATGGAGTCCGCAGAGGATTTCTTGCCTACAGTAGGAACATGGCACAAGCAACAGGTGAGCAGTGCATGAAATTTTGGTTTATGGGATGCGGACAGCAGTGGGGACTCTGACCGAGGCTGGGTAGTATTTGATAGGCTGGCAGGGCTGTCAGAATAAGAGCTACTGTATTTAACAGGCAATACATTCAGACATGAACCAGCAGCAGACAGGCAAGACCAGGGGTGGGCAATCTTACCCGCAAAGGGCCGGTGTGGATGCGGGTTTTCGCTGCAACTCCCTAATTAGGTCACAAAACCTAGGAAAATAAATCTGAAATACGAATAAATGCCAGAGATTTAAGTTGGTAAGCAGGAACGTACATTAAATACAGAGAGAGAGCAAAGATTTTACGTAGAGACATTCCCATCTTCATCAATACATTCCAATGAGTTGGCCACAAGACTGCAAAAGATCATCACGCGCATCTGTAAGTGTACAATTAAAGTTGATATAAGTAGGTTGTGTGACACTTCATTGCGAAGCCGGTGTGGAACTTTAGTCACTATGCTTAAATGGTACAGTGTAATTGTAGTGAAGGACGATGCGATCTAGTCCTGGTCCTGTTGGTCACTTACATATATAAGGAAAAGGCAGTTACACTAAAATGCACCAATAGGAATTAAGACTGAGTCACACGGCATCCTGAAGGTCTCTGCAAATTTTTAGTGATTCAAGAACATTAACTGTTATCCAAACAGACCCCACGTACCCTACCAAGTAGGTCACAATACAAGCATAATACATAATACAATGGTAAGACTCTCCATGTGTGAAGTCCGACGTGACTCAGTCCAACACCCACCAGGCACGCCCTGTAATTATGCACCGCAGAGATATTCCGGATGGGATCTGTTCGGAAAGCTCATTTTATTCCGGCTTGTTTTTTCTCCCTTGTTCAAAATAAGCCTGAAGGGCTCTTGGCAGGGGAGTAGCACCAAATTTTGGGTCCCAGACACAGTAGTGTGCCTGCCCCCCCCCTGCAAACTTACTTACTGCACTGTATTTACTGTTTGACACTCCAGGCTTGGTTTTGAAAGAAACTTGTCAGCAGTTTCCTGCCCCCTTTTAACTTTACGTCTCACTCCCTGCTCTCCTTGAGCTTCTGAAATCATGATTTTAGTTTAGATTTCATTTTGGATTCAGAATTAGCAAAAACCACAATTGCATATGCACCAGAGGATCAAACCACTTTTGCCTTTGAGGCGGGGGGAGGGGGGGACAGGAAGCAGGCAGATAAGCAGAACTTACCATATAAATTATTATTTATTTTTATAATAGCAGAAAGTGTTTAAATTAAAGAATTTTTTTCTCTAGGCTTTTGGAAGGCCCCCTCTTCCAGGCATGGACGAGGCTAGTCAGGTCCACCGTTACCCATGGTCCGACACCCCTCGTTCTTGGATAGGAGATGCCTCCCTCCACCCTAGCTGGTCCATTCAGTCTCCCCACAGTATCGCACTCGAGCTCCATGATGGCAAGGCTTTCGTCACATGACACGTGGGATCCAAACGGCACAGTGGTGTAAAGGTTATTTATACTCTGGTGCATGCTGGGAAGGGTTAGAGTTTTTTACATTTTATATTAAAGAGAACAGACATCCGCTAAGTTGTTTCCATGATCATGATCTGATTGTCTTTTTAATCTTTGTGTATTAACAGAAAATGCTGTCTACTTTACTGTGCCGATATATATATATATATATATATATATATATATATATATATAATTGTTTATATTTAGATAGGTTGAATGTTCTACAAAGCTGAACTTAATCCATTTGTCCCCTGAAGGTGAAACATATGCATACAGTCAGGTTTTCTTTATTTCTTAGACCCTCATTAAATTTAGATTGTTTCCAGGTGAAAATGGATTATTAATAATTATTAATCTGAAGATGGTACACCTATTTCAGTAATACCATAAGGGTGGCGTGGTACCGTTATGGCTGGGAGCTCCGATCCCACCCATGCATGTGTGACACACAGGTTCCTACTTGGTCTATTGATGTGCGTTTAGACTAACTGGTCTCCCTACATTGCCCATCGTATATGATTGTGTGCGTGTGTGAACCCCGTGACGGGCTGCCAGGTTCCAGGTGGACCCAGAACAGTATAAGTGGTTAAGAACGCATCGGTGTAATTCGGTGCAGACTCTTCTCTATGAATTCCAGAATTTTTCATGTGCGGCTGCATGTGTCCATTGATAAATCAGACTCCATGGCAAAGGGCTATAATACTTCCTGTCCCAGACTCTCATAACTCAATTACATCACATTTTATACACATCTTCCTGTAGTCAGGGTGTCAAGGGCCGCAATTAATTCATCCAGTAATAAGAAATTTGTTTACTTGGGTTCTGTAAAACTGATATATATTATGCTTTAGATTATTTTGTCTTTCATGTCACATGCCCTTAGATCATGTTTGTTAGTGGTGACATCTGAAGGAAGGATGATTGGATTTTTGGATCTCTGCTGCCCCCTAGTGCTTGAAGGTCCTTCCCTGTGCTGGTTTCCAGCTTCTTCCAGGGAAGGCCTCTTTGCAAACAGAAAGAGAGATACCTATGCTCCTGTAATTTAAATAGCATTAGATCATAAGCAGTCCATGCATAGTTTATGCAGAGGATTACTTATCTTTGGTATCCTGGTTACTGGGCTGTGGACTTACTCTAAGTAGGAAGTTCTGCATGATTAAAAACTAAACATATATTAACAGTACAAACAACATAACAACATAAAGGAACTCAAAACTAGGTGTAAAACTTTAAAATTAATTTATTATATATCTTTTCCATAGAATCAGTTTTCACTCAGGGTTAATGTACAGCCGTCCATATACAGAAAAAAGCCTTTATGACTTCTCATTATGATTTTATAACTGTACACTCTTTCTTGTCAACAACAGAATAAAAAATAAGAAAAAAGACTTTTCTTCCCCCCATCCAGAAACTGTACTGAAACACACCCTACTGGGAAACTGGAAAAACTGGGCAGGTACAAGCTGCGCGTGTAATAATTACCCAGGCGAATGTAATTAAAATGTATTCAGACAGACTGTCTGCGTGTGTTATTGGTGGGTTTCTCGATCTTCGAAGACAATCTGCAGAAAGCTTTCGCAAATACGCGGCGTTTGATAAAGGCCGTTTCTGAGGACACTGTGGTTTTACGTGACACCCTACGAAGGGGCTGCTTGAAGCTGGAAAATTCTTGAGATTGCTGTGGTGCGATACCAAAACCGCTCGTCTCACTGTGAGGCCCTGGTATAGGTCAGTCTGTGAAGGTACCAGCTTGGTTGGCCTCAGCCCGCTCTTTCTGTGACGAGTCCTGCCTGAGGCGACAGCAGAGGCTGCCGGCCCTGGTCCTGGGCCAACCCCATGTCTGTGTTTGTAGGTTACTGGTCCAGATTTTAATTAATTGGACTTGACTGGATTTATAGTATGGCACTAAAAATCACATCTATTAAACATTTGCAAACTACAATCCCTTTAAAAGGGATTACAAGACCATTTGTGATAATAAATCAGGGCAACCACCCAAAAATCCAATTATGTTCATTTCATTCACGGCCTAAGGCTGCCCTGCAAATCCAAAGTAAATTTACTGAAATGAGAACTGGCACATTGTTTTATTACAAAGAAAATTCTGCACACTGCAGGTATCCCACACATTCTCATGTCAATAACTGTGCTCAGCCTTTTAAAAGATAAATATTGACATTACTTCCTGTTCTTTCTCTTGGTTTTCCCAATAGTCCTAGGAAAAGGTAGATAAATCTGATGACATGATGGCACCGTGTTTCATATAAATTGTGTCAAACCGCCAAATGCCATCTGTGTTGTACACACCAGGAAAAATAAACAGTCTTTTTTTCGACTATGCATGAAAATGACGTAAGCATTAGTCGATGCAGATTTCCAGTACAGAGAAAATCTGTTATATGTGTAAAACAAATGAGTTTGGTAGAGTTACTCCCAGTTAATGTTACTGAACAAACTTGTTGGTGATTCCAGGATTTCATCCTTAGGAATGAAGAAGTACTGGACAACCCTCCCCCCCAATACAGTTTGTTTACAGTCAACAGTCATAAATCATCCATTCGATCTTCCCATCAAATTAGGGCTGTAGTAAGCTAATGTTAACGGCCGTAGGGGAAACACTGTGACACACACCAGCGGTGACGGCATTACGGGCTGAGCCACAGTGTCAGCAGTCAACTGCTCCCCCAGGTGTAATTAATTAAGGGCAAGTCAGCTGGAACAAAAGGTGCATAGTAAGGGGTGGACCCAAGACCAGGGCTGTGAGCAAATGAAGTGAGCCGGTCCGATCTGTCCCGCCCTCTATCTCCCAGATACGCAGTGGACCACACACCATAACACTCCTGCTGAAGCTCTGAAGATATGGGGTTTACAGAGAACCACATTCCAACCCCCCAACTCAACCCCCCCCCTCCCCCCGACGGGTGTAGACCCGATGTAGACCCCCGCTCTACCACGAAACAAAAACATTTCTGCTACAGTAAGGTGCAAGTTTACATTTCACAGACAAGGCTATCTGCAGTTTCAGCATGCAATGTACATTCCTGAACACAGGCCTCACGTTTATGTCTTGACGGTGTCAACAGAAGACAGAGAGGTAAGACTTAAAAAAAAAAAAAAAGTCACCGGTCTTTCTCTTTTTCCAGGGATCAGCTACAACTGTGAGAAGTATAACCAGACATGAAAAGAGCACCCAGAGCATTAAATGGTTATGCAATTCCGACAGTTACGAATGGGGGAGAGGAAAATATGCCGTGTTTTACTGTGGTATAAACTCCATGGACAAACATCCCTAGCGTGACAAAATACTGTCAAGAGTTTAAGCAATATTTAAAGGGCTGTTTTTTTTTCTCACTTCCCTTGCGTGTTAAAGCACTCCCACATGCGACCGAAATAGATCGGCAGGATAGAGGACAGCAGTGAAGCTCGCCCCCTCACCGTGACATCACTTCCTCCCAGAGGAGAGGAGACGCTGTTTTTTGTTTTTTTTTTTGGGGAGGGGGTGCAGCAAATGTCCATTTTAATGTGATTAAAAAAAAATATTAATAAGAAGCTGCCTGAAGAAATAAGACAAACAAAAAAGAGAAAATTTAAAAATCAGTAACACGACCACTGTAAACAATTACAAATTCCGTTTCACATTAAGGCAAGTCCATTTATAGCTGTTCATGTGTACGTATGTGATTGCAGGTAGCATTACTTCTTTAGCGACATACAGTGAATAGCTAAGGTCACTTGGACATTTTCATCTAGCCTCATGAAACACAAACAGGCTGCTGCTCCGTCACGCATTTCTCTGTTCTCGGTTGGATGTCCCTATCGTGAGCCTGCCTCTCGGACTCGGCCAAACTGGGCTGGACTGGAAAAGAAGACTGGAAAAGCACCGGGAGGATTCAGCAGTGTGTCAGGTGCCATCACATGGTCACAGGCCTGGAGCTCACCCATCTGTCACCCACTGTGTCCTTATGACCTGCTGCGGCACTGCGTATGCCCCAGAAAAACACTTCCGTCACCCTACTAGTGTTTCCGAGACGCGCCGACAACCTATGCCCTTAAAAATAAACCCGCATCAAAGTCAGTGCATCGTGTCACTGCATGGATGTTGACACTCGTGTAAAACTCATATGATCATCTGTAGTTGCTCGCTAACACTGAGGTGACATGCGCTGAAGCGGCTTGGACGGCCTTTATATTTCAACGTTTTAGGGGTCGCATTAATGAGACAAACAGCAACAGCTGTGCCCAAAGCTTCCCAGAGATTCCTGCTAACTTCAAAACCCGCGAAACGCAGGGGCTGGAGTCATGCTGGGATAGCTCTCTCAGTGTCCAGGCTTTGCTTTCTGTTCAAATGGAACGTCGATCAATAAAGGCTCTTGAATGAATTTTGTTTGTTTGTTTTTTTCAATATCCATATATGTTCTGCAAAACTTTGCTTTTTGTTGTTCTGAGGGAGCACATAAATTTTCCGTGGAATCTTCTTAAGGACACATTCTGACGGTGTTAATTGACAACAGAGAGTGTTTACTGGAGTCCTGAGGCTCTCTGTGATCAATTAACGCTGCCAGGCCTGTTCATTGTTTTTACAGTTTTATCCAAAAAGAAAGCGCAGTGTTACTGATACTACTGGACTAACACACTATAGAGCCAATCACTATATACTAGATAGGGGTGAGCAACCAAATTCTGTTCTTTAACCTCAATGTGAGTTTCATCGCTCATATATGGAGAGACATTTTAACTAAATATGATTATAAATATAGTGTGATACAAAGACATGAACTGAAAATGAAATATTTCACGCCGCGGTTGAACGGTATGCTCTCCTCGTCCAAACGTTACATATATTCAGCAGACATCTGCGGTCCCTTAACCCAGGAGCAGACAAAATAAATCAGTGCCAACATAAATAACATCAAAAAGAACAGTGCAAAGAAAGATCCGGCACAACAAGACGAGCGAGAAGGCAAAATGGCAGAAACCTTTGTCAAGCCTTATTTCAGACTCAACAGCCTTCACTGAATCATCTGTCTGAGGAGTCATGGGTTGGCTCGGGTTACGGTCAAGTGCTCAGAAATATTCTGCGGAAGCGGGAACGAGCTGAGTGACCACATATAAGATGGTACGCAATAAAAGACTGAAGATAACAAAGCTGACTAATGCGAAAAGTGTCACATGACTCGCACACATTGTGTTGCATTAGTGACACCCCCTCTGTACCTCAAATTAAGAAATCTAGATCTTTTAGCAGTCAAATCAACTCAAATCACTTTGACACTCGGTAAGTGCAAGTGAATGAAAGACTTGTGTGCAAAGTCACACAGCAGCAGCGATGAAGTAGCAGAACTTGGAAAGTGGGGCGTGGCTAATTGACTGCCAAGCAAAGCATTCAGGTTTGGCTTACCACCCAGCAGTCAGGGGGCCTGTCCTGCCTGAACACGTATTAGCATCTTTATAAGCTGCAGCCAGGTACAAGAGAGGCTCTCATATGCACATGTGATACAGGTAGCACTTTATATTCCTGTCCTGATGTAGATGGCACTGAGCAGGGAAGGGCCTCCAGGGGGGACAATCACATCTTGCAGTCATGCAGGGGTGTGGGTGGGCAGAGTTATCTGCCAAGTGGAAGGAGGAAATCTGCCACCAACGTCCAAGTGGTAGACGCCATCCTAGCTTTTGTGGAGGTGCAATGCAACCAGCTGAGTTCTGAAGAGATACAGAAATTCTTATCCTGCATTCCTTCATCTTTTTTCCCTCCAACATTTTGGATGGTTTTCAGCTGCTGCTGCTGAGTTCTGCTGGATGCTGGAGTGTTTTTCTGGATTCCTGTCGAACAAAAGCAGCCTAGACTGAACTCCTTCACAAGGCAGATTCCACCCCCCTCTGCCGATCTGAAAAACGCTGCTGCAGGCTGGGATCTCGATATAAATTTTGGGTCCTATGAAAGCATATCATATTGGGTCCCACAACCCAGACCAACCCAATTATTTTCCAAATTTTTTTAGATCCCCTGTCACTCAGAGGCCCCCGGAATCGATCTTATCGCCCCCCTGTACGACTCCCCTTGCTGCAAGCACAGAGATCTTGATGGAAAGTATAGTCACAGGATTCAGGGAGGCTGTTCTACCCCCTGAATGTTTTCTGAGACAAAGGCCTACAGAAAACCCCTTCTATTCCATTTACACCACACTGGACCTACCCACCTAAAACATGGTCTCAAGGCTCATACTGCAGCTTGCTACACGAATGATTATTTTTTCATATTGAGGCTCATGTCTGCGAGGTCCGAGGTTACAAATCAGCATTTATCATTGGATTTAATGTATGATCACATTACAAGCAAGTAAACAGGGCCTTTTCTTCCCCGACTCTGCCGAGTCCACTTCCTGTACTCGCACTGGCTGCTTTGTTATTTTGACAGTATTGAGAAAATTGAGAGAAAAGTCAATTAGAACTTGTGTAGAATGACCGAAAAATATCACAAAAAGCATTTGACAGCATAATGGACTCCATTCTCAATTTACACATGGGAGGCAGAGAAGCAGACAGAGCAGGAAACATTGAAAGATTGTATAAGGTGCCTTGAGTACAGAGTCTCTATTGTCAGCTCTGCAGACTCTGCCCGTTATTTCACTGACTGTTATTAACACCCAGCCCATTGTAGCAGAACCACGACACCAGGCCTCCACCCTCAACCAGGGAAAGGAGATGGAAGGTTGGCAAGGGTTAGGATGAGCCAGAAATGGGGGGGAAATAAGTCTATAGTGGTGCTTTCCCCGAATTTGAACGACACTTCAGCTCTACCCCTCAGCCAAAAATGTTTATGCATTACCCTCCTGCTACCTTGCCCTCTTTAACATACTGGTTCGCAAGCAAATAACGGTAGCGGTCATAATTGTTCAACAAGTACTTTGGGGCGTACATGTGCTCTTTTGGGTCCGTGGGTGGATATTCCATCAACGACCCATCAAACCAGCCCCCTGTTCGGATCAAATCTCGAATGTAGTTGAGGTCCCGCTTGTCCTCATAGTCCCCCCAGCGGGGGAAGTCTCCATTCTGGGCAGAGATGAGCTTCAAACGTATCCCCTCTGGGGTGAAACACCAGGAGCAGTGCCAACCTGCAAAATGGAAAGGACTCCCGATGGACCACTGGACCAGGATGTGGCCTGTGTCATTCTCATACTTCCGGAACCCAGGCATGGTGTAATACTCTCGTCGCCTAAGCTTGATGCCATCATTGTCATAGACAGTAGCCAGCATTCCCACAGTGCACCCTGATACCACCTCCAGGGAGCCCAGTTGCTTCCAGAAGAAGCCATATAGAGACTTGCGCATGTGAATTGCAAAGGGCTCTGTCCATCCATCAAAAAGTTTGAGGAAAAGGATCCCCTCTTGGGCTGGAATCTCATCCGCATCGTTGATGATGAAGACGTCGTCTGGCTGCAGTCCATCTATGCGGGATATCCCGTCGCGTGTCAGGAAGGTGCGCAGGTAATCGTCTGCGATCCAGCCGTCCTGCCGTCCACCTTCAGGAAAGTGGTCCAGAAACACATAGAGGATCTTATGCCGCACAAAGTCGTATGTCCCGTTCAGGAGAAGATTTAAAAATCGCAAAGGGCGCCTCTCCCCATAGGCCGTGAAGTTAGACTCACACACCAAGAAAAGGTCCACTGCCTGGGCTAGCTCATGGAAGCGAACATGAAGAAGGTCAAACTCATGGTTGACATTTATGGCATTAATGACCCTACGGGGCACCTCCCTGGGCATTAACCGCTCCTTGGTGGGCAGGGTAGAATGGTACACCATGGTGGGGACTCCACAGTAAGGACCATGCCAACCCGGACGGCACACACATTTTACCAGCCTCTTGCCTTTCTTGGTTCCGGCCTTGATTGGGTTTACAGCCTCCTGAAGCTCCAGTATCCTACGATTTGCTGCTGTAGCAACTCCCATTCCCAGACTGTCCTTTGGAACGGCTAACTCAGTCCCTTGTCGGAAGCAAAGAGCTCCGGCTTTAGTATGCACAAAGTAAGGGCTTTGATCATCAACGAGTTTGAAGTGACGCAAGTGGAGGTCCCCAAGGGACTCTATGGGATCTGGTAGGGTAGGAGTTGGAGGGATCTTCTTCTCCACCACTACTCTTTTTTCATCAGGATCACCGTGATACCAGGGTTTAGGGGGAATGTTATGCTCTTCCTCTTTAAGGTTTAGCTCTCTTTCCTTGACCTCAAGGTCCTATGGAAGGGAAAAGATATCTGTTAATCTGTCTTGTGACATTAAAAGTCATTCAACAACCAAACCGACAAACTGGTTATTACCTGAGAGGCATCTCCCTCTTTCTGCTTTGCTACATCCAATTTCCCCCATGGGACCCTCAAGTCTTTATCCACATTTAGCTCTGGGTTGGGCTGCTGCTCCACGGCCCTGGAATCCCAAGCTCTGGGGTCAGAGGGGCGTATGACTGGGGCAGGGCCATCATCTGAGAAAGTGCTTGACAAAGGCATATCTCTCTCCTTCCAGAAGAAACCGGTGACCATGATGAAGGACTTGATGTTGGGATAAGGGGCAGAGAGTTCTCGCAACAAGGAGACGTAGTGTAGGGCCTTGTAGTAATGCAAGAAGGAGATCACACACAGGCCCACAGTGCAAAGCAAGAACACCCTGTGCCGTCGCATTTTTATCCTGAGAGAAGAAGGGATGTGGGGGTAAGAGGGAAAAAGATAGATAGAGAGAGAGAGAGAGAGAGTCAACATTAAATTGCATCAGAGGTTCTGCTTTAAATGAAGAACAGGAAAATAACAAAAGATGCTGCACAACATGAAAAAGCACCAACGGTGTCACACAAACACACCACTGAAAACAGTCAGGAACGCAAAGCCAACCTGCATTTCATGACATGTTTTTCAAACTACAATGTTCACTTTTTTTTTTTCGTTCTAAATTAAAAATGACTGCCACAGACTACAAAGAGAAACGCTTAGAGCAGCCACAGTCCACTCTGCCAGCGTTTGCATTCAATGCACAGCGTGAATCCCAGGCAGCTCAAACGGTAATGATGCTGAACGAACTCAGAACAACAGCGAGTGAAAGTCGCGACCGAGAGAACCAACTGGAATGTGAGAAAGGAGTGCTAGACATGCAACGGCAGGCAGCTGCTCATTCCATACAAGCAGGACTTCACAAAACAATGGAGCTGTTGTTTTTCAACATAAAGCAGAATTTACCTATCTATTTGTGGCACACCTGCGCTTTGACCTCTTCGTGTATAATCGGTAAGTCTTACATTTGGCTTAGTGACAATAGTGAACAAAGCAGTTTCCCTCCATCTTTGTCAACCAAGCTCTTACATATTTTTCAGTGAAGGTAACACTTTGACAAATAGCAGGCGAAATTTAATTAAAAATGGATCCCCCTAGAGTCCGGATCAGATCCAGCTGAGGACAGTAGAAGTTTCCTGTGGGTCAATAATCTTTTTTGTGCAGGGTAAACTGCTGTGAAACTGCTGCGAATTTCATTCCAGGTTTAAGCACCTGTGTTGGCTGCTAGGCACCTAGTGACCCAGTGAAGAACCCAGGTCGCTTAGAGCAAGAAACCCTGCAGGTAGAGTCACTTTTCTGTTACCGGCATGTGAAACATCAGGGGAGTGTGGTAACAATATTAGAAGAATTATTGCAAGTAAGAGATTAAGGTTGTTTAAAAGTCATTATATTGTGCAAGAAGCATGGATGATCAGCAGAGCAGTAAAACAGCAGGATGGTTAACTATTTTAAAAGTCCTTTTTCCCTTTCTTTGTTCTCCATGCCAAAAAAGACATTTGTTTTTGTGCAATGAGTATAAAAACTAGGTGTACAGGAATTGCTGTCAGAGAGGAAGCACTTTGAGTTAAAGGTCCGTGGAATCTGGCGTGAATGGCATGTGAGATGAGCTGATGTGGCACGAACCAAACTGGGGATACCCCGATACGATATCACCGATGTCCGTTATTGGCATGGCGCTTTACGTTTTTTTTCTCCGCACGAGAGTGTCCACAAAGCGTATAAGTGACGTTAATGTAAAAGTGATTTAATTCAAATTTAAGAGACGCAGAAGGGAACAGAAGAAGCGCAGGCTTAACTGAGGAAGCATGTGACCTGATGCTGCATGTGTTCAAGCCAGATCCACTTGCGCTTATGAAGGAAGACAAGACAAGGAAAATAAGTAGCCTGAGGGACAAAGTAACTGATTGAAAATCACGACATTGTGCCCATAACCTAATATACAAGAAAATGCCAGGCCGAGAAAACAAGAAAACTCTGTCACCGAATATAATGGCATAATTATGCATGTTAGGAAAAATGGATCAGTTTCGTGTTACTAAATGGCTGATTCCTCCCAATTGCATTTAATGGAATTTGCTTAATGACCTTTGTCAAATGACCCTGTTTTGTGGAGGCCAGAATTACTGCAGTTGCAGGAAGGCGCGTTTCAAAGCCCACAAAACGGTACTGTTAGCCATTAACTGGGCGGCAGTGAAAACAAGGCCGAGCGCCAACTTCACATCCCATAAGGGCTTCGACCGGGACCCCGTGTCGATCGTAGGGCCTCTCGTGTTAGCCCTCTGCTCACCAGCACCACTGACCCCTGCAGGATTCGCGCATTGGCTGCTGAAGGCACATCAGCCCGCGTCTCTGATTCTGCTTAATCCGCAAAGGGGGCCCATCCCCCGCATCGTAAGCTGAGCACCACACGGCTGGATGCCCGCTGGAGCAGAGGAGCCCATCCGATGCGGCCTGCCACTTAGGGCTTTACCTTTAACTTTGATTTGAATGGCTGATGCATTCGCACCAGCAAGCGAGCTATTCCATCCCACCAAAACCCTCTCCACTTCCCTGTACCCACCTTCATCCTTTCTTGGTTGGAAGTCCAACTACGTTTTAGACTTTCACCCTTACTAGTTACTCAGTCCACAACAGACTCACTACTCATTAACTGTTCTGTTTTTTGTGCACCTTGTAAAACTCTTCTGTGTCTCCTTCTCACACATGCCTCAATTCACCAACATCAGCGAGCGCGGCCGGCTCTATCTTTCCAGGGGCCGAAGGCAAGGCCTTACTTACACGGGAGGCCCCTTTCCAAGAAAACCGATGATCGTTTCACTCTTTCCACAACAGATGTAGTTAGGCGGCCCTCGATAAATGCTTATTCTGCCTAAAGCTGGATTCTGCTCTGCCAGCGACCAGCCCAGAGATTTCAGCTCAGTTCAGCTGTTTGACCTCGCCGGCCAATGAACAGAAGGCAGCCGTCCTGTGATCCTGCTGTTCCAACTGAAGTGTCAGGTTGTGTGAACTTCACTGACATGCCATCCATATACAGGCATGAAATGATGTTCCCCCGGCAACAGTAATAAAAGTATATTGTTGTCCCTTTGGACTGGTTATTCAACTCCAGTCACTTTGGTTAAAAATGACCTATTTATATTGCAAAAAAAGCTTATAAACTTTGAAAGGCAATTTAGCTAAAAAGATAAGGAGATTAGATAAGGAAATTAAAGCACGTGAACTACCGGACCCCAGCCCAGAGTGGGGGGATTCCACACCACTATCCAGTCCTGCAACACAGTACTTCCAGCTCACAAACACAATCTCCTTACCGCCACATTTGTCACATACTGAATTCTGCCCAAACCATATGTCAGATCATTAGCTAAACAAACAACACACATTTCCTTCTCAGACTCCTCATTTCTCCGTTATATGAACTCCTAGATTTATTGAGTTTTTGTTTAGCAACACACTAAGTTCTGTTTTGATGCGCTATGACTAACTTCACGGTGCGATTCTAGGCGCTTCTAGAGAGCTGAAGTCCATGGCGGAGCCTCACGAGAAGTTCCCGTGTGTCGTGGCATTGTGATTTCAGCCCGACCAACAACTTGATCGGGCCTGAGTTGTTTAGGTCATTCAAGAAAACAAGAAACAAGTAGCAATCTTACAGTTTTGTAATTTACAGGAAGATAGCACAAACTGAGCGCTACAGTACAAATTCCAACACATGCAGTACTTAGTAAACAGCAAATGCACTCTGGGGGACACGCTAACCAAGTTTGTTCATTCCAGGGACAATAACAAGAGCTTCCCGCGGATCCCTTTAAACCCACACAGCTAAAATGGCACTTAACTTCAATTAGCCCCACTCTTCACTGCCCCCTGCAGGTCTGTAATGGCTCCATTTCACAGATATGCTTCTCACTAACGTCTTGTGACTGATGAAATTGGTTTACCTGAATTCACTTGCCTGAGGTAACAAGACCCCTCGTGACTCATTCAGAGCTGGGAAAGTCACGGACAAGAATAACAAGGAGTGGCTCCATCTTTATCGATGTAAGAGGTTCCTAAAACCCGTAATTATGACTCGGGCTAAGCACTTTCCAGCCTACCTCGCTGAGATTCAGGTATTTTCTGGGTGCTAATAGCATCTACAGGCTTCACAGGCTAAAGCTAATCAAGTCCCCAATAGCCAAAGTCCGTGGTCTGCTAAGTCGCCCCACCTTATCATGGGAGGCAGAGAGCGGGGGACAGGCTTAATGGCGAGAAGCGTCCCATGTCCCTGTGCTGACACCATAATCTATCTGAGGTCACCTGTCCGCACGACTTCTGCGAATGAGCACAAAGTGTGACCATCCCTACCATCTCAATGCAAGCGCTATGGAATCATCTGGTCCGCCACGTGATTCCCGCCAAAAGTTTTCAGCACTTGGCTGTAATGTCAACAACAAACATTAAGATGTAAAATACATCAGCTGCATGACATTTTTAACCAGGACTGGCCTGGGATTTAGAACTGACCCTGTACTTTTGCCCAGATGGGTTCACCACACATACAGACTCCCGAAAAATTTTGCCGATTGGGGAACACAAGACATTTTGCTAGGCCACAAACCCATCGGCCCACCTGCTTTTAACTGGTTCTTATATTCTTATATAGTTACATGCAAACATTTCATGGCCCTCCATTAGCAGTTCATAATGCTGAAGTCAGAACATGTATGAGTACTCTCCTTTCCCGTAGAGGAGACTCTTCAGCCATCCTCGCTCTTGCGTCTATTCGTCTATGTTATTTGGCGCCTGAATATCAGGATGCAGGAATACTGAAAATAGAGCTTGTATAAAAAAAGAAACTGGCAACTCCATATGACAAAATCCTCAAACTAAATCCGTGTTGACATGTAGTTCTGTCTTTAGTTGCTTTTTCATAACGTCAGGTGACATTCCATCTAGGCTCAACAGCATTATGGTTGACAAAAAAAATGGTAGCTAGACATATCCTGTCTAAAGCACGTACAAGAAGACATATAGGAGATGGCGATACAAAATAAGTCAAACATACAATAAATTTGGATTTTTTTTTTCTAATAGCTATGTAGAATTTTTAACAGTGAACTTTGAAAAGTCATTACATTCACGAACAGTAAAGCTGAACACTCTAGCCGGGGAGTTTCGCTGGGTAGGTCTCCCATATCCGGTCTTTTGTTGGTCAAACCCTCTCAGGAACAGTGCTGCTGGAGCGCTACCCGTTTTCCCAGCATTCCTTCAAAACCTCACAGAATGTGTCCACTTTTTAGGAACTGCACCATTTTCCTGTATTCTTTGAAGGAATTTGCTGGAATGTGCAGCTCAACAATCACATTCCAAAGCAAACATATCACA